AGGAAGCGGGGAAAGTTGGGGCCGAGATTCATCGGACCGTTCAGGGTTGTAGCCCGGGTGGGCAAGGTGGCGTATAGGCTGCATCTGCCAGCCGAGCTCAGCCAGATCCACAGCACTTTCCAGGTTTCTCAGCTGCGGAAGTGCCTAGTGGACGATTCAGCGGTAGTGCCGTTAGAGGATATTCAGGTTGATGACAGCCTGAATTACATTGAGCGCCCAATCACAATCCTCGACAGGAAGTCGAAGGATTTGAGGAACAAGAGGGTGGAGCTAGTGAAGGTGCAATGGCAGCACCGCAGGGGTTCGGAATGGACTTGGGAGCCAGTGGACGAGATGATGGAGCATTACCCCGAGCTGTTTCAGGATCGAGCAACAGACTTCGAGGACAAAGTCTAAAATAAGTGGGGGAGATTTGTAGCACCTGGTTCCTGGTATGTAAATCTTATTTAAGTATTTTCCATTTTTAGCCTTGGACTCGACGAGTCATAAGTCCGACTCGCCGAGTAGGGACGAGACCCAGGACACGTTTAAGTTGGCGACTCGGCGAGTCCATATCCTGGACTCGGCGAGTCACCGCTGTTGGATGAAACCCTAAGTTTCAGGGGTTTGCACCCTATTTAAACCTCATATCCGCCCCATGCCAGCCCCCATTCACCCCCAGAGCTCCCAACCCTCGTTCTAAGCTTGTTCCTTGAGAGTTTGAGGCTATTGTGTGTGTTCTTGAAGGCTTTGAGGCAAGAAGGGGAAGTAGATCAAGAGGAAGGAGAGCCATCCAAGCATCATTGTGTTTTTTCAGCAGTTTCATTAAGTCGGAGGATTTCCGGAGCAACACCAGCAGCAGTCAGTCAGTTCCTGATCAGTTCAGCAGCTACTTTGAGGTGAGTTACCTTCCAGTAGCGGTGGGTCTAAGGCCACAATGCCGACCCACCAATAGGAGATGTGTGATTAGATGATTGTCTTTGTGATATTCATCTAGGGTTGCTACTACTGTGTTATGTTATGTGTTAGTGACAGTAGGGGGAGATAGTCCCCCAGAATACCGGTCGATAGGGTCGAAGGGGCGGTCATGCCCAACCATGCTAGATAGACTATGTGGTATATGTGTTATGTGGTAGTAGTAGGGGGTGAAATAGTCCCCAGTATCCGGTCGAGAGGACCAAAGGGGAGGCCAGCACCCAGATATGCTAGGCAGTATCCGGTCGAGAGGACCGAAGGGGAGGCCAGCACCCAGATATGCTACGCAGTATCCGGTCGAGAGAACCGAAGGGGTAGGTCGGGCACCCAGATATGCATGACAAATTTACGTATGTTAGGTGATTATGTTCTATGTGGTACAGTGGGGGAACTCACTAAGCTTTATGCTTACGTTTTACAGTTTTGGTTTCAGGTACCTCTTCTTCGAAGGGGAATGAGTTGGCGCAGTAGCGGCACATCATGCACACACTCTGGTTTCCGCATTTACGAGATTCACTGGGATTTGTACTCTGATATTTTGATGGGTTGTATGGTTTGGCTTTTTAAACATGGTTTACGTTGTGTTATTGTGTGATCAAACAATGTTTTTAATTGTTAATGTTTTCTAAAGTAATGTTTTAAAACGAAATTTTCGGACGTGAAAATTGGGACGTTACACCATAAATACTCCCTATAATATTGCTAGCATTGACTTTTAACCTAATTAAATAAACCAATAAGTGTGCATCTTCATCTTTTCCAATTCATCGGTGTAGTAACCCTAGCCCACCTTTTTGCCCTCATCTCCATCCTCTTGTCTGATCTGGCGAACACCATTGAATCCCATTGTCGAACCAATCTTCACTGGTAAGGGTTCGAAAAACCCTCTCTATCGACCACCAGTTTTAATCGGATTTTGTTATTGATCGACTCTAGGACCAATCCTCCTGATTTTCTTCTCCGTTTCAAAGATGTACACATGAAAGGAAAACAAGTGTTAACTTAAATTCCAACTGGAATCATCCAACTTCAAGGGGGTAACGACTACTGTGTTTTGACCTAAGTCTTGCTTTTTCCTCTTTGCATCCATCTTTGTTTCTACGATCGATACATGCACGTTAAGGATGCCCCTTCTTCCAAACACCGATAATGCCTCCAGACGACGCCTCCAACTCAGGTAAATGTATCTCTTCTTTTTATATCCTGTTCTCATGTTATGATGTGCCTTTCTTATGGTTTTTACTTTGATGGATAAAAATCTCAAGAAATTAGCAGTAGTACATAGAATGATTCATAAATTTTTGTAGAGGGTTGTGTATGAATCGTGATTTGATTTTGTAAAAATTGCAGCTTTTGTTACGAATTTAGGTTCATTTTGAAGTTATAATTCTAATTTATTGAATTCAAAATTCACATTTTATTTGTCAATTAGATAGTTTCGTGTTTTGTGCTTTTCAACACTACAAAAGAGCACAAGTAGTTATTGTGGTAGGGTTCTTGATTTTTTTCATGTCAAAATTCTCATAAAGTTACATAATGAGTTTTATAGCCAATATATCATATGTTTTAGGGTCATTATGTTGGATTATTCTTTATGGGAAATATCTGCTACATGAACTCCATAGTCCAATGCTTGCATTCGATTTCTGAGCTCAAATCTACATTAATCGAGTGATATTTCTGACTTCTCTTTGTGTTAGTAATATTCACTTGTATTTTTATCCATTTGATGTTTTTGAACACTGATTTATTGCTCAGGTACCCTCAATCTTATATAAGCAATGATTTAGATCAGTCTTCTCATATTTTCACTGTTTCAAAATGAAAATTGTTTAGTGAGCTTGATAAAAATATAAAGCCACTTGCACCAATACAGTTCTGGATGATACTATGCTTCCATCAAGAAATTCTCATGCTTAAGCAAATTCAAATGTTTTTTGTGTGTGTACAGACATTACTGAAGCTAGGTTTAAGAAGTTAAAATTCTTATGAAGCTATAAATTCTAGAAGAAATGATATCAAGTAAAGAAAAAGAAGCTTGGTGAAGAATGAAAACTCGGTTTGAAGCCTGGTGAAGAATGAAAAGTAAGACAAATATATTGTTCAGAATGCATTTGCATTTTTTTCTGTTAGAATGATTAGCGACAATATTGTATCAGAATGTATTAGTGTTTTACTTAGATTTCAATGTTTTTATTTGATTTTTAACCATTCTCGGTTTTATTCGTAAAGAATAAATGTAATTAACCATTATTACTTGTATTCTTTCAGAATGAATATCATTTATATATGTCCATAGTTGTATTTGTTAAGAATGAATATAATTATTAATTTTAAGATATTAAAAGTCTTTTCATATAAAATTTGTATTCATTAAAAATTATTAATCTTGATAATATATATCTATAGTATTCTGTTAGAATTTAATGTTTTTTTTAAGATACTTATAAACACATTCTTTTAGAGTGTCCGAATTACTATATTTATTATTAAAAAACTCAGGTTTTTTAAGTTTAGAGAATTAGCTATTCATTAAAATCTGCAATTTTCTTTTTTTATGTTTATGTTATTTGACTAATATACCCTTAGATGAAATTTGATGATATTTTTTAATTATCTTTAAAGTAATAATATGTATTAATCACTTTCTTAAAATAAATAAAATGATTAGTTCACAATAAAAACTACATATACACAATATATATTATTTTAACATAAAAAAATCAATTTATCAGTTTTTTACATTTTAAAGTAAAATGCATTAATTGTTTATGTGATTTGCCTAATCTATATGTTTCTTCTTTATGTTTTATTTTTTTTTATTTTGACCCGTTCGTAGTTAATTTTAATCTTTTATGATTTATCCCTACAAACATGAAATGATTATACTAATCTGTTTTTATTATTTATGGATTAAAAAAAAAAAAAAAAACGAGTCCTACTTCCCCCCATTTATAAACCTAATATGTAATCTCTCTTACCATTATAGTCACCTACCACAATTTCTTTTCGCAGTTATCTTCATAATGATTTTTTCTAATTTCAATCAGTTGTCAAATGCCAACATCATTCCTTTCCTAAATCTTCTTCTCTCAACCACATATCCATCTCTTCTTTTCTCGGTACCCATATGACGACCACTACTACCACCAGTATTGCAAACCTCGGCCTAGGCAGCCGACTACTCGGACTCGGACTTTTCCCCAGGCGTATAATTAGGATTCGACCAAAAATACTCGAAATTAGTCAAAATCGGACAAAGTCGGCTCCAATTCAGTAAAACTCGGAGAAAATCAGTCTAGCTCGACCAATTCGAAAAAATTCGCAAAAACTTAAATTTTTTTATTTACTTAGAAAAAATATATAATTGTTATCGATATTCATCTGTTTTGTTATAAATTTTAATAATTTTGTGATATTTGTTACATATATAATTTCCTAAAATTAATTTTATATAATTTATCCGATCCAAATACATCCCTTTAAAATGAATACTCCCTACTTCTTAGTTGACCTCTTAAGGAACGACTAAGGAGTTCTGCAACATTGGTTACCACCATCTCTTCCATGGCCTTCATGAGGTTGTGTAAAAATTGAGATTTTTTTTTTTTTAATGGGTTTAAGCATTGATGGGGTATTGATCCAAGATTATGCACAAAACTGAGATGAAGCACCCAAGTTTTAAAATAACAATAAAACATATAAATAAATAAAGCAAAAAAAATATTTATCGAGGGAATATAATCATTTTATGTTTTTTAGAGATAAAAGAACCCAAGTTTCAAAATAATAAGGGCCGGTCAAATGAAAAACAAAATCTAGGAATGAAACATACATATTAGGTCAAACCATGTTCGAGTCAAAAACAAAACATAAGAACAAAACGAAAGACACATACTAAACCAACTCACATGGACAATTCGTTCGTGTAATCTACTCTACATTTCTATACCATATAAATTAATATGAATATTTTTCAAAGAATTTTAGTACCACATAAGTTTATAAAACAGTTTTACAAAAAAAAAAAACATTTTTAAATTAGAATTCACAACACCATATTGATGGATTGCTTCAACAAATTTATGGATTAAGAAGGTTTTACTAGTTTATATGACGGGATTTGTCTGGCAAAATGAGGATATAATTGATCTTATGTTATTAAATTTGATATGATTTTTTTATATCAATTTGTATCCACCAACAAACGACCCAATAATTCCCAAACTTCCTCGTCTCTCTCTCTTTCTCTATATATGTCCTCTTCCCTCTTCCCATGTCTTCTACATACTTCTTCCCACTTTTCATCAGTATTCCTTCTGAAAATCATCAGAAGAATATAAAGTAGTTATATGATCAGGAGAGATCAAAACTGATCTATCATGAGTTGTAATGGATGTCGCGTTCTTCGAAAAGGTTGCAATGATAATTGCATTCTTAGACATAGTCTCCATGGGATCTGCACCCCTCAAGCTCAAGCCAACGCCACCGTCTTCGTCGCTAAGTTCTTCGGCCGCGCCGGTCTCATGTCCTTCCTCTCCTCCGTCGCCGAGTCTCAACGACCTGGTAAACATAAATCCATCATCGCCATCAATTTTCACTGATCATATGTGTTGTTGATCAACAATGCTTTTCAATTTTTCATGAGCCTGATCATGTTCGTTTTTGTGATTTAGCTTTATTTCAGTCTTTATTGTTCGAAGCCTGTGGTCGGACGGTGAATCCGGTGAACGGGGCTGTCGGACTGCTATGGACCGGAAACTGGCACGTGTGCCAGTCAGCGGTGGAAACAGTGCTGAGAGGCGGAAGCATACGAGCTATGCCGGAGCTATTTTCCGTCGGATCTACGCCTGTGATGACGGAAAACGACGATGCATCAGAAGCTATCAACTGCAACTTCGATGTGTCGAGAGTGAGGCCAGAAGATCTCAACCTTGGAGTTGGCGGTTTAGATGATGACATGAGATTAAGAAACTCCGGCAGCGGGAGAAATACTCATCGGTGGATGACTGAGAAGCGGAGAGCAGTGTCGCCGTCGGATGCATCTGAAACGACGACGTTAGAGAGTGGCTTGGGTTCGGATTGCAGCGAAACAAAACTTCTGAGACTCTTCTTATGAAAGAGACAACTAACCGCTCATCAGTCCTACAGGCTAATATTCCCTCTGATAAATTAAATTTTATCTTTTTTTTTGTTTGTTTTTGATCGGCAAAAGAAATGAGAACCAAATATGAGATGTTTCAGCAAAATATTAACATAAAATGAATTAAGATGTCATGTAGTATTTTAGTTAAATCTTTTTTTTTTTTTTTTTTAATAAGTTGATGGGATAAAATGTAGATGATGGGGGGCAAAGATGGAAAAAGTGAAATTGGTGGATTGTAATTGGCTCTTGCATCCTGCGAGGGGGCATGTCTAATTTAGTTATTGTGAGGGTGAGATATAGGATATAAAAAATCATGGTGGGTGGGACCCTAATTTTGCAATATCCATTGGTTAGTGGTGGGTCTAATTGTTAAAGGATGGTTATATAGCATCAGCAAGCAAAGACACAAGGAAGTGAGTCAATCTGACCAAACATGTGGGGTCTACTTTCCTTGTGCCTTCCAACTGTTGTGTGTTGCTGCATATGTCCAACCGGGAATGGTGATTCCCTTTTAACAAATTCCAAATTTCATATCAAATCGCATATAAATTGGTTCTTCACTTGTAAAATACAAAATAAACAAATCCTTTATATTTAACTATACATCTTTTTCATAGATAAATGCATAATCTCTTTTATTAATATATAATTAGATCTAAATCAACATACGACAACAAGAGACTCGAGAATATCATTATGATGGGGTAGGAGGAAGGTAGATACCGGAACAATAACAACAGACCATATGAATTACATAATAATAAGGGTAGAAGAAAGATAAATATCAACAATCATGCTTCAATCAAGGTTGTATGGTTGTGTCATATAGATGATCTCTAACATATAAATGATCTCCAACAGACAAGGAAGGAGTAAGTTCTATTGATTAGTACGATGAAATATGAATCAAAGAACCTTCAAAAAAGACAAAAATAATGAGAGAGTAAGTCGTTAAACAAATACATGAATAAATCGGGACAAATCTTGGCTTCATGACTTGAAGTTCCAAACAAGTAGTAGATAAAAACAAACACAATGTTAGTCTCACTTAATAACGTAAGAATAGTTTGAAGGGTGAGTTGATCTTGGCTATTTTGTTGAATTATTGGCGTGTTGGTAATCAAGAACGTTGAGAACAAAGAGCAAGGCAATTTAGTTATTTGATCTACCAATGATGTGATATCTGTGTGTATGTGGGGCCCACACACACCAACACACACCCACATGCATGTCCAATCATTGGAGGTTTATTTACCAATACCCTTGTTTGATTGGTGAAACTCATTTACTATTTTCTTGCTTAGTTATTAACTATTGTTCAACTACAACAATGTACAACATTGATAAGCATCTACATGGTTATGGTAAAGGCATAAAAGAATATTGTTTCTTTCCAAGGCAGGTTACCCTACTAAATACATGATCATAATATTACAGAGGGAAAGTAAATGACTGAAGCCGCATATTCTATGTCAATATATACATCCCAAGTAAAAGTAATAAAAAAAAAGCGTGTAAAACCTTTAAGTAATAAATAAAAAAACAAAGGTGACCTCCGTTTCTCCCTACCTAAAACATAAAAGGCAACCATGATGTACCAAAAGAGAAGTTAAACCTTTTGTAGCAAATGCGTTCTCAAACTACAATCTTTGACCTGTCGGATACGTTAAAAGACAGATGTAAAAAGAAACCCCGAGTGAAACCATACGCTCAAGAAGATGCATGCATGCACATGTGTATTCATGTATTTATACGTGTGTGTGTACGTATTTGTATACAGTATATACACATGTGAGTATTTTACCTTTAGAGCCATTAACATGAACAAGAAATCTTTGCAGATCCTAATAAGGGCTCTCTCTTTCGCAGATACATTTGCGAGCTCCATCACAAGTGAATTCACTTCCTCTGCCTGAGACTCAGCATTAGGATTCCTGATTAGACACATTTCTAATCGTATGGGCTTCAAGATTCAAGAACAATAAGTGAAATTAGAATTTTGCATTACCTTCAAACAGAGTGAGTGTATCGATGAACCCATTGCCTGAATCACAACCATTGCTGAACTTATAGCATCCTTCATGCTCTGGATATTAGCCTAGTTACACAGATCAAGATTCATTACCACAATTTAACATCTAATAAATTCATCGACAAGTCACTTACAGTTGCACCACCATCAACTGGAAGACGAAGAGTGTTGCCCTTCAAATCTTTAATTGCTCCAAGCAATGATCTTGAATGGTCTTTATATGAACAAGCCCACTTTTCCAGAAAACCCATCTACACGAAGATAATATAAGAAATTAGATCTTCAAGATCACGACTAAATTCATAATTAGACCTTACTTGTTGTTTAATGATGGAGGCCAACTTCAGTTTTTGCCTCAGCAATTGCAATCTGTGTCGTTTTTTAGTGACAGAGTCATGCAGATCCGAGGTTGTAACCCATGTGTTCCAGAGATATTTCTGAATTCGATACAAACTCACATAACTAAATTTTTTTAAAGCAATTTGCATTAATAATTAGTGATCGTATATAATCATACCTCTGTTCTATGTTTTCGCTTCAACAATATATCTTCAGTCCTAGCGTTCACATATCGCCACTGCAATTGCCGATTATATAAGAGCCTCAACATATGTGCATCAAGAATCCGCTTCTCGCCTACCTTTTTTCTCCCACCTTCAAAAGCAAAACTAAGTACAGATCGTGTATCATCGGTAGTAATGGTTCCAGAATTCCTAATGGAATCCATTGATGACGTCATCAACACACTCTGTGATCCTGATCTCATTCTACATGCTGAAGCCATTGTTCTTGGTGATGATAATGGCCTATTCCTTATGAATTTCTTTGAAATCCCGAATTTTTGGGAGGCTACTAATTTCGATTCATCGCTAGCAGCGTTACCCAGATCAAGACTCGATCTACCACCACCATCTATGGATTGGTGTAAAGCTCGAATCACATTTCGGGATTCAATAACCTTGGATTTCTCAACGTTAAAACTCTTTGAGAAGATGGTGTTAGTAGCTTGGTGGGTTTTGCATGGCCACCAGTGTTGATCCATGGGTTTAGTGTTGTCCCCATGATCTTCGACCTTCCTTCTCAAAGGGGAACCAGTTGTCTTCCTCTCAGGAATACCCTTTCTGACATTATTCAAATTAGGTCTCCTTTTGGTCTTATTGACGGGAAGCGAAGAAGCCTCACCTTGAAAAGACACAGACAAATTTCTTGTAGATGTTAACAAAAGCTTGGCAGCTGCGGACATGGACACCTCTCTGCCGGCGTTGTTACATTTCAAGTTAAGATCCGGCTTGGCGGGTCTCCTCCGGTCAGCCGAAACCGACCGTTTCACAGCCGGAGTAATCGAATCTCTGGAGACAAGACGAGATGGCGACCTTCTAGGAGGCGTAGGTGTTAGTAAAGATGATGATTTTGAGTTCGAATTTGAAGAACTTGAAGAAATATGTCTTGTTGAGTTATTAAGGGTAATGACGCTGTGATCTTTCTCAGACGACAACAACGGACGTCTTCTTGTTTGGTTTGTTAATGTTTCAGAAATCGAAACAACCATCATCAAGAAAGATACTTATAAACAAGAAAATAGATAAATCCCAGATGATATCTTCAAGAACTCATCTCACATTGTTGGGTTTTGAACCAACAATCGATAAATAAATTAAAAACCCGTTTTTATCTAAAAGATAGTAACGACTTTAAGAATTATGTGAAAATTCACACATTTGTTTAAAAAGTATTATGTTATTCAAACCACACAGCTACAAAGTGTCAAGTTGGAGATCACGAGAAGTAACGAAGCTTATTTTTCTTTTTTACAGCTACAAAGAGAAGAAAAGAGAGAATTGGACGGTGGTGGGTGGAAGGTGATCGGAGTGGTCGTGTGCATCTTTCCATGAAGGGGAGAGGGGTGTTTAAGGTTGTTATTTTGCTTAAGAAAAACGTTAAGTTGCACTAATCAGGTTTTGGGTCTTTTTAATCACTCTACAAGAATAATCTTCTGATTTTTTAAATGAAAATAAAGATTACGATACAAGGAAAACCCTACAAAAACCAAAATATAATATGTTACTAGTTACATAGATTAATTAAAAAAATTAAATATACAAATCAAAATATTTGTTTAAATTTATAAAAAATTAAAAAAATAATGAATTATTATAATGAATGTTTTTTATATTTAAAATTTGAACAAATAATTAAAAAAAATTAATAAGCTTTAATTTTGGAAAATTTGAAATTAAAAGGTAAGTTAGTTATTAAAATTGATATTAATTTATTATTACATTTATTGCAATTATTACATTAAAATATCATATGAAATTTCATAAAATATAAAAACTCATAAAATGACATGTAAAAAAAAATTAATTCAAAATAACAAAAAATGACATTAACAGATTGAATGAGAATGTGACAATTAGTAAAAAATCTCCATTTATTAGAAAGGATTAGGTGTGAAACCCGTGTATTACACGGGGTTTTTTTTCTTAAAAAAAAAAATAATATATATTTTGTTAAACATTATATGTTTAATAATTTACAAAACTGAATTTGGAAAAATATCAATATTAGTGTGAATGAACCAAATTTTGCCATGTTTCTGCAAATTATCGTAAATTTTAAAAGGGGTTGGCCAAAAATTATGTTTGTCAATTAGGAATGTTGATTTGAATTTAAACGGAATTTAATACATTAATTGACAAATTAAGTGAGAATTTATGGAGATATTTAAGTTTCATTATTTTCTTTATTATATTTTTAGATTTAATAACAAAGCCAAAAAAAAAAAAAAAACCCACAATTTGTCAAGTGGATTTAAATGAAATTAAAAAAATGTCATGTAACATGTTGGATTAGATGATGACATGTGACAAAAAAACCTTCATTTATTAGGTAGTATTCTTCAATACACAGAATACGCAATTTTATTATTATAAATCATTTATGTTCTTATAATGTTTAAATTAATTATTTGTAGCCGGTAAAGCCTTGATATCCACTAGATTCTAAATAATTCAAGCTTAATAAAAAAGCTATATATCAAATCATTTATGTTCTTATAATGTTTAAATTAATTATTTGTAGCCGGTAAGTTATATGTATTTTGATTTAGATCCACAATACTGTTTCTATAATGGCCAAATGCCGAAAACAAGAGGTTGTCTATCATTATCAATGGTCGTAGATGGTCTTTGAACATTTTAATCTGCAAATGATAGCTATTATAAATATTGATATTATCAAAAAGTCACCAGAATTTCATGATGATAACTTAAACTTATCGTACAACCAATGGTGACAAATAATAGCTCAACCTAATATTGATCATCGAGTTGTGGTGCCCAATTTTCCTTCTCTAAACATAAAAGCCACTATATTGTTACTATTTTTGTGTTTTAACCATTTTATTTGTCATCCAAGTTTTGTAATTTATCTGCACCAATTTACACTAAATATTCCATTAAAGCCTTCACAAACATTTAAAAAAAAAAAAAAAAAAAAAAAAAAAAAAAAAAAAAAAACTCGTCATAAAAGGTTAAAGAGTTTGAGTTTGATATAAAAAAGTTGTCAAAGTTAAGCGACTTAAACATAAATTAGAATTTTACGTATTTTGCTCTAGATTTTTTATCATTAAAATGCGCTTCAGGCGGTTATTTATTTTATTAATATTAAATTACATATTAGAGATTAAACGTTATTTTACAGATTAAGTTCATTGATTTGCTTCGAAGGCCAGTCTAATCCCTTAAGCTTAGTTTTAACTAATAAATGTCTAATGGGGGTTGATGTCTTGATGAGGCTCTTTCCACTTTTTATTTTTCTACAATAGACAATTTTGTTTATTTCATATTAAAATAAAGTCTTTAATGAATTCTCATTGGTTTTATTGTTTTATACTGCCAAGTTTTCGTTTGAAATATTGATACACTTTTAGATTTTGCAATTGAACGAAACGACATTGCACAATAAAAAAATGTTTTAATTTGACAACATTTCTTTAGTAACCTTTTTTCACACATGGGTTGTAGAAGGATATAATTAAAACATTAACTTAGTTTCCCCTTTTCCATGAACTTTATTATTGAAGAAAGAAATAGAGAAAGCTTTGCCTTTCATTCACCAAAAAGTATTTGTTCATCGACACTTTACATGAAATCATCAACACACTTTACAAATTCATTGTTACCTTATACCACTCTTGGCTCCTCAAAAGCCCCCTTTTCCTCTTCTTCAGCCTTTTTAATCCATGCAGCCTATGTTAATTAAAAAAACAAATCAAAATTAAATAGATCAGTAACAATAACAATAACAGTAACAACTAACAGATGACAGATAACCAGCGAAATGAAACTTGCCTTCTCTCTTTGAAGCCGAGATAGACCCGGGCGTATCGAGTTCCCAAAACTCATACCTCCCCACGCCGCTTCCAACTCTCTCTCCCTTGCTTCCCGTTTAGCCACCAACGGGTTCTTCATCTGCTCACCCGATTCCTCAAAACCACCAACCACTTTCACTCTCTCCACTTTCAACTTAGGCTTCACCAAAATCTTCTCCAAACTCTCAACACCATTATCTTCCTTCTCTTTCACTCTCTCTTTATTCCCATTAACATTTTCCTTTTCCTTCTTTGCTTCTAGAACCTCCCTCTCAAGTCTCGAAACACGTTTCACCAAAACCTCACCAAGACTCGGTGTTTCCTTCATCTCTTGTTTCAATCTTTCAGATCTTTTCACCTTTTTCTCGTATTCGTATTCACTCCCACATTTTCTCTTAGCCTCCTCTATCTCTTTCACAAGCTTTGAAGTATGCTTCATTAGCATGCTTCCCAATTCAGGAACAACCTCAACCTCAACCTTTTTCAAATCCTTCTTGTTTTTATCAAAATTGTTCTTTTTAGCCTCTTGAATCTCCTTTTCCAATTTCGAATAATGTTTCACCAAAATTCCTTCCAACCCTCCTTCTGTACTTGTCTTCTCTTCTTGAATATCATCTACTTTTTCCACTTTGGTTTTATCATTTTTAGCATTTTTTGCATCTTGTATCTCTTTTTCAAGTTTAGTCAAACGTTTGACTAGAAACTTATCAAGCCCTGGATGCTCTTCTTCGTGTTGCTTCCTGCTTGCTTTCCCACCACCACCACCATTTTGGGCTTCAGCTAAGGCGGCATTGAGTCCACATGTTGCAACAATGGTGGCAAGAGAGGCAAGTTCTTCTTCCTTTAAACTTTTTAGTCTTTCCAACATCATGTCAACAAGAGATTCCTTTTCTTTTTCCTTACTCAATTCCATCTCATTTTTTTGAGATTCTGATTCACAATCTGGAGTGGGTTCTTCACATAAATCTTGATTCTTTTCATCTAAATCAGGGTTTTGACTTATTTTTTTCAGTAGTTCTTTAAACTCTGCTTCACCTATGGATGCACAACTTGAGAGCCTGACAAATGCAGCTTTCAAGGCAGCTGCCACTTGTTTATCAACCTCAAATGCTGTGTCAAAAGATGTTGTCACTGTATGTTGTCCATTTTCAGATGATTTTTCTATTTTGTAATGCTTTGTTGAGCAATCTGGTATGTCATACATGATGACTCCTATTTCTTTTGCAGATTCGAAAGCTTGAGTTGCAGTTTCTTCTGCTTTTGCCAGAAGAGATTCTGCTTCTTTACTTTCAATTCTGTGAAAACACCAATCTGATTAGATAAAGTAGAAGTTGAAATAAATAAAGAAAAAAGGTTTATTGCATATTTTACCTTGCTGCATGAAGTATTCGACACCAGGATGCTTCAACAAGTGCAGCTTTTCGGGCTTCTATTGCTCTATGAGCAGCTTCTTTGACTGCTATTTTTTCTCTGAGGACTTTTGAGAAATGGGGATTTGTGTCACCAAGAGTTTCATCAAGAGTTGAGTTCATGCCATCTACTTCCTGAAATAATAATAATTTAGATGCATTTTTCAAGACTAATGTAATTGAACAAGAAGATGGAATAGGTACCTGAAGTAATTTTAATTTTCTTGTTAGGTAGGAATCCACTTTCTTGCGTGGAAACCAGCTGAGAGGTGAAGTTTTTCTACGAGTAGGCTTTTTAATCTGAGATGCCAGTTTGTTAAGAGGACGTGGGCTTGGCTGATTTGGATCTTTCTTCATCTTGCTCTGTATTTTTTTTAGTAAAAGAGATAAAATAAACAAGATAATCGATACATTATGCAATAGTTATCAAATTATTTTCATGGATCTGAGTCTCACAAGTCACAAGAAATGGTTTTGAGATGGTTTCTACTTAAATGTTTAGTGTAACTTTATCCAATTTGGCTATATATGTATTTTCAGACCATATTAAGGTAATTAGTTGCCGAATCGTTGTTATTTGTCAATTTCTCTGTGGATATATTTGGTAATTAACACATATAAACACACACTGGATTCTAAAGCATTAAGATCCTAGGCACCCACATCAATGCAAAACAGATTGTAGATCTTTTAGATAGTAGGCACCCACATCAATGTAAAATAGATTGTCACTTCAAATGAAATTAGGGCAAATCAAACAAACTACAATCCGAAACCAACACTGAAGGAAATTATCCAGGAAAAACACAAGTTACTAAAGCAATGCCTACGGATTGAAGACCACATATAAGAGGGAAAATCAATGGAAAAAATCAAGAACCTAAACGGATAACGAGAATTACATAAAGATACACACCTTTATAGGCTTCGAAGTTGAGGGACAAGAGCGATTAGAGTTAATCTCTGAATCAACAGAGCTTTGACTGATTTCCTTTTCGATACAACCCAAATCCAAGCAGCCGAAATCCATTTTCTTTGACTATCCCGACAACGAATGAATCAGATGAGATATAAATGATACTAATTAGTTGAGTATGTAATAGTCAGG